TTCATCATTTCTGTTTACAGTCTCCCTATTGAAATCTATTCTGACTAGAGGAGAGGTTTTGAGAGTCGATTGCTGGGAATTCCCTGGCAGCCAAGTGGTTAGGACACACAGTATGGCCAAAAGAGAGAGAGAGAGTCAGTTGCTAAGGGAGATGTTTCTGTTGAAAGGCTTCCAAAAGAATACAGTTTTTCTTGCCATCCTCATGGGGACCCCAAACCAAGAGCTTGAGTAGAACTTTGTTAGATGTTCAGGGAACTGTGTGCTAGGAACAGAGGAGTGCAGAGCCAGTGTCAGGCTACCTAGGGTGCTTACTATGCCCCCAGGATGGTGTCACTGGCTTTATGTCCTGTTTCTTGGTGTTTAAGACAGAGCCCAAGCCGCCCACTGACTTCTCTTTTGAGATCTGCAAGAGGGCCACCAAGAGAATGTGTGACCAAGCTGAGAAGGAAGTGGCAAACCGCTTTCCAGCTGGTAGCTAGGCAGGCACTCAGAAATACAGCCTTGCTGTCAAACCTAGGGGCCTGCACTGGGCATAAAGTTAGCTGGAAGGGCACTCTGTAAGTGGTAATGGAGTGAATATGAAACACGCCAGTTTTCAAGAAATATCCAGAATCAAAGTTGTTACAGTAAATTTGCAGCAATCTTTTTTTTTTTTTACATTCTTTTTTTGATTGTAATAAATACACAATAAATAAATAAATAATATGAAGTTTACCGTTTTAACCATTTACATGTACATTTACATTCACATTATTGTACAGCCATCACTACCATCCATCACCAGAAATTTTCATCTTCCCAAAATGAAACTCCATACCCATTAAATACTAACTCCCGGGGCTTCCCTGGTGGTCCAGTGGTTAATACTCCACATTGCAATGCAGGGCACATGGGTTTGATCCCTGGTTGGGTAGTTAAGATCCCACATATCACAGAGCAGCTAAGCCCCATGCCACTACTGAAGCCCAAGTGCCTAGAACCCATGCTCTGCAACAACATGAGCCCACACACCACAACTAGAGAGTAGACCCTGCTCACCACAACTAGAGAAAAGCCTGCACGTAGCGATGAAGACCCAATGTAGGCAAAAATAAATAACTCAATACTAACTCCGTTTCTCCTGTCCCCAGCCCCTGGCAATTACTATTCTTCTTCCTGTCTCTATGAATTTGACTAGTCTAGGTACCCCATGTAAATGGAATCATTTCTTAAAATTAATTTTTAATTTACACAAATATTATAGGCTTATATTCTTATTTTTAAAAAATCAAACAATAATGAAATAGTGGGTATAAAAATAGTGGATATAAATATTCAGGATGCAAACTCAGATGTTTAAGACTTGTTAACTAGGGTACTCTTTTGCCCCCTTCTGATGCCTAAGTCAGAAGCTTTCTCTATCTCCTTTATACTTTAATAAAACTTTATTACACAAAAGCTCTGAGTGATCCAGCCTCGTCTCTGGCCCCGGATTGAATTTGTCTCCTCCAGAGTCCAAGAATCCCATGTCTTATGGTTCAGCAACAACCTTTCATCTTGGGGGCTTGTCCGGGATCCTTCAAGACAAGGTAAGGATGCTTGGAGCTCTAGTTCTTTGTTCTCCTAGCAAACATGTTTTCTGCTGTACTTTACTAACTCTTCAGTNCATGGCCACGGTGCCCACTGGAGGACGGCGAACGGTGGCCGGTTGGAGGGTCTCTTAAGTATAATACTGTTTTACAATTAGACCGGTTCTGTAAAAAACAAGGGAAATGGGTAGAAGTAAAAAAAAAAAAAAAAGACTTGTTAACTTCCTTAGTTTTCTACAATCAAACCCAATTTCTTCTTCCAGCCCCTGTTCCATTAGGTAGCAAGGACTTAAATCTTTGTTCTTGCAGGGACTACCCAGCCATTCTCTCCAGAGGCGCCTCTAATTTTCTAGAGGGCTCCCGATGTGCTACAGGCATGGAGAGGGGTGATCAAATACTTCTGGTGTTTGGTCATCAACACTTGTCCTCTTTGGCATCCACTGAGACTTCCCGAGCCTGTCTGTTCTCAGGTGTGAGCTCACAAAGGGCACAGGTCATCCCCCTCTGGCTTATCCCAGACCTCCACAGGCACAGTTCTCCTCTCTCTCCCTCTTCCTTTTCCTCCCTCTGCTTTTTTCTTTTTCTTTTTGGCCACACCACTCACCTCGCAGGATCCTAGTTCTCTGCCCAGGGACTGAACCCAGGCCCCAGCAGTGAAAACTCCCAGTCCTAACCACTGGACCACCGGGGGATTCCCTCCCTCCCTCTGTGTTTCATGCCTCTCTGGAGCTATGCGGAGCTCAGCTGGGCTCTCTCTGGCCCTTCACTTGCTACTCAGTCACTCCTCAGTTTCACAAACCAGGCTGAGGCCTGGGGCGAGCAGAAATCTCAGAGTGGCCCAGACCCACTCTCTGGGCACAATGTGCATTTTGGGGAGCAAGTGCAAGATTCCTGTTACTCTTGCACTCACCAGCTTATCTGGGTTTTTCCTTTGCCATCCTCTCCAAATTCCAGATTGTGTGAAGTCAGAGCCCGCAGAGCCTCAGAGTTCTTCTGAGGGACTTAGCCGCAGATGATTAAGACCCCTCTGTCCTGTTCTCCCTTTCTTGTCTTCCTCCCCAGTCTGGATGGACTCATTCTAGATGAGATCAGTTGGGTGAGGGGATAAAAGTGATGAAAAACTGGTTCTAATTCCTGTAGTATTTCCTCAACAAAAATTTCCTGATCATTCTCCAGAGTGCCAGGCACTTTTCTGGGCAACAGCAGTGGACAAAACAGACAAAAACTCTGCCTGTCTCTCCAAAGAGACAGAATAATAATAATAGTAATAAGTCATACAGAATGCCATGCCTTTCTTGCTAATGAGTCACTGTCCAATAGAACTTTTGGTGAAAATGGAAGTCTTCTATGATAGCTCCACTGTCCAATATGTTGGCCACCAGTCATGCGTGGCTATGGAACACTTGAAATCCAGACTGAAGAACTGAATTTTTTAGCTTTATTTCATTTTAACTAATTTTATTTTTTTACAATGATGACTTTATTATTGTCACATCATCATCATTATTATTGGCTACACTGGGTCTTTTTTTTTTTTTTTTACACTGGGTCTTTTTGGAGGAATGGGGGCTTCTCTAGTTGGAGTGTGCAGGCCACGTTACCCCATGGCATGTGGGATCTTAGTTCCCCAACCAGGGATCGAACCCGTGTCCCCTGCATTAGAAGGAGGATTCTTAACCACCAGACCATCAGGGAAGTCTCCATTTTAACTAATTTCAACTAAAGTGTGAAACAGTCACATGTGGTTAGTATATTAGAAGCACAGTCCTTATATACTGACATCTCTGAACTTTGGCTTTGAAATCCAAAAGGCCAGGGTTTTGACTCTCAGCAAACCTTTTCTCTGCTTTTCTTCTGAGACTTCTCCCCATCACTGGGGAGTCCACTGACTGCCTGAACCCAGGGAAGATGCCTTACTTGTGGATGCTTCTGGTGCACACGGCACAGAGTGCTCCCTTTCCTGCCCCCCTGGTACTCCCAGGCTCCCAGTTCATCAAGAGGGAAGGAAACAGGACTTACTTAGGAGGGCTGAAGAGAGCCAACAGGAGAGCTAGGTATGAAGGATTCCTGTTTCCCCCTTAGCCCCTTCACCCTTTGATTCCAGCTACCCTCATCTCTAGGAATGAGGAGCTATTTTAGCATAAAAGCAGATCACTCTTGTGTGCTCTGAGAGATGGTCTATATGAGCAAGAGAGCAGCTTGTTGGTTGGTTGGTTTACAGATGCCACATTCTGAAAAAGACATGGCCTGACTCACTGTGGAAAATTCCTAAAGAGATGGAAATACCAGACTACCTTACCTGCCTCCTGAGAAATCTGTGTGCAGGTCAAGAAGCAACAGTTAGAACTAGACATGGAACAATGGACTGGTTCCAAATTGGGACAGGAGTATGTCAAGGTTGTATATTGTCACACTGCTTATTTAACTTATATGCAGAGTACATCATGCAGAATGCCAGGCTGGATGAAGCACAAACTGGAATCAAGACTGCCAGGAGAAATATCAATAACCTCAGATGTGCAGATGACACCACTCTTATGGCAGAAAGCAAAGAGGAACTGAAGAGCCTCTTGATGAAAGTGAAAGAGAGTGAAAGAGCTGGCTCGAAACTCAACATTCAAAAAACTAAGATCATGGCATCCAGGGCATGGCAACCCACCCCAGTATTCTTGCCTGGAGAATCCCATGGACAGAGGAGCCTGGCGGGCTACAGTCCATGGGGTCACAAAAGAGTCAGATGTGACTTGGTGGCTAATCAACAACGTACCTTTCACGTAAGATTTACTAGCTGCTAACATTTTCTCCATTTGTTTTCTCTCTCTACACATAAATTAACATATGTGTGCATATACATATGCTATACGTTCACATATACATTTTTTTAACCATTCAAGAGTCAGTTGCATATCATGACACTCCGTCCCAGTGTACGTTAGCTTGTATCTCCCAAGAGCAGGAATGTTCTTTTCCATAAACCCAGTGAACCCAAACAGGTTTGACACTGATAACACACTATTTTCAGGTTTGGAATCTATATTCAGTTTTTGCCAAAATGCTCTTTAAGACAAAAAAAGAAATCTAGGATCCTATCAATAATAAACTTTGCAGCATTGCTTTTAATCAATAAATGTGTGCCAATTCAACGAAATGAGTTTCTCCCAGGGAGAGTTGTGCACAGAGAAGAGAAATGCATGAAAGATAGAGCCTTGGTTACTACCTTCAGAGACTGAGAGGATGGCGGGAGAAAAAGGAGAGAAGGCTCAGTCAGAGCGCAGGCTCTTGAAACAGACATTGAAGGGTCTCCTACTGAGTCCTTGGATCCTTGAAGATCTCAGACAGGCCTGGCCACCCAAAGTGGGTCGTGGAGTAGTGTGTGCATGTACACCCTCTCATCATCCCTCAGAGGAGCCCTCCTTGAACCTATGAGCCTGGGACCCCAGCCTTCTATTGCTATGACAACCGCTTCTATGAGGACATAGGGAGTAAAGAATTGAGTGTGGGGTTACAGAGGGAACACACCAGAGTCTCAATGCATTAGTGATCTCAGAACTGTATGATAATGAAGAAGAGAGATAATATGTCTCTACCTTCGAATCTCGAAGTAGGGGAGCAGGATGGGACGCAGCAGGTGCAAGGGCAGGGTGACTCCTGAAGTTCTGCCTTGTGTGAGCAGTTCCACTTCTAACTAACCTCTCCTCTTCTTCCCCTTAGGAGGTTAAAGAAGCTTGGGGATCCCCAGGGGTAGAAAACCCCTCCTTTAACACCATTGATATATCCTTGACACCCATCCACAGCTTCACTGATGACCTAGGCTATCAAGGGAGCCAGGACCTGACCAGCGTGAGTGCCCCTCCTCTGGGGTCTCCCACCCCTTGCTCTACCACCGTGTGGGCATCTTAGGTCACTGACCTCCCCTTTGATGTTCTGTGGCCACCTTCCATATCTTGTCTATGTCCTTCCAATTCACATTTTTACTAAACATGGCTCAAATTGACTCCTTCCAGGAGAAAATACCAACAGTAATATTAGTCTCAGCTTATATCCATTGAATACTTACAACATGCCATTTTATGAGAATTTATCTGTCATTTAAACTTCATAAGAACCCTGTATGGTCAATACTATTACTATCCCCATTTTTCGGATGAAGAAATGGAGACAAAGGTAAGTTAAGTAACTCTCCCAAGATTGCCTAAAAGATGCTAGAGTTTGAGCTCAGTTTGTTTGACTCAGGATCTCATACACAGAACTGCCTCCTGGCTAGCTGCTCCATTTTTATGAGTGTCCTCCACTGTACCCTCTCAACATTTATATGCTGTTGAACACACTTGATATATGAACTTACTTGCTTGTTTATTTGGGGGAGGGTTTAAATGCTAGCTGTAATTTTGTTATTGAGCTATAATTGATGCACAATACAACTATACATATTTAAAGTGTACAACTTGGTGTTTTGGCAATGTATATACTTGCAAAACCATCGCCACAATCAAGATAATAAACCGATCCATCACCTTCAAATAGGAACTGCCTGGATTTCTAGAACAGATAAATTAGAGGGTTATTATCTAACTTCTAAAGGGATTCTTTAACCAAAGTATTTGAATCCTTTTTAAAATAATGAGCTCTCATGTGACGCGCTTAGAATATGCCTGTGTATCCTTTGCTGATACTGCTTTGTAACTTCTCTTTGGTCATTTTAAGCGCATGTCTTCCCTAGGCAGGGCAGTCTAAAGCTGTGCTTCCTGCCCTGTACTCACAAGCAAGTGGGTGCTTGGCTTAATCTTTTTTTTTTTTTTAAGAAGTTGAATATTTTATTATTAAATTGTTTATTCTCCTGCAAGGCTGTTGCTTCACTATATAAAAATAGCACCAGCAAACACAGTATATTGCAAAGTTAAGACAGTAATATTCTTCACTGGACACTATACAACTAACAAACTTTTCTCCACTGCCAGTTATTTCTAGTGGGAAGATCATTTTGACCCAAATCCAAGGATAGCTGTAAGCAAGTTACAATGTCATATAAGGTATAAGATAACCATGTTATCCTTGAATTACATAATTTTTGTAATTAGTTTTATCAGAGATAATTTCAGGAATTCTGAATAGTATAACTGGAGCCTAGCCTAAAAATCACAGGATGCTGTGGAAAAGATACAGTGTTTATCTGAAGGCATTAGAAAGTTAAGGGGTATTTTCTTCAGGAAACATTGTTACAAGTAGTTTCTTTTGCTAAAAGTTGCTTTTTAAATATCTATCCACCACTAATTTAAGACAACTATGCTAGATTAAGTTGTTTCAAAGTAGTTTATTTAGGGGTTCCATTTTCATTCCTCAATAGATTTTATGTATTTTTCATATGCTTCTTCACTCATTAGTTCATCTAGTTCTGAAGGGTTACTGAATGTCATCTTGATCAGCCAACCATCTTCATAACAAGACTTGTTGACAAGTCCTGGATTTTCTGCTAGAGCTTTATTAATTTCCGTTACTTCTCCTGATAGAGGGGAATAGAGTTCACTAGCAGCTTTCACACTTTCCAAAGCACCAAACTCCTCTTGTTTATTCAACTTTGTCCCAACTTCAGGCAGACTACAGTAAACAACATCTCCCAAAGCTTCCTGTGCAAAATTGCTGATTCCCACTGTTCCAACACCGTTTTCTGTTGTTACCCATTCGTGTTTTTCTGTGAATTTCCGCACCGACAGCAGAGCAGGGCCGGTGCGCAGTGCCCGGACGGCACCCGCCCGCAGTCCCCAGGGCCGCGGCGAGCAGGGTGCGCTGGGTGCCGAGATGGCGCGCAGGCTCTTGGCTTAATCTTTCCCTCTGATCTCAGTCCTTCTCTGCCTCACTTCCCACCCTTAGACTCGAAGTCCCATATGTAATGGGATGGGTCAGTGCCGAGCACGCTTCATCCCTTGCTCTCGGATTCTTCAAGGAAGAAGACCCCAGCCTTGCTCCAGGCAAGAGACAGAAGCGGAATAAGATTTTCCGGATGAGGAGAAATAAGGTGAGGGAGGAAGATGAGAATGACAAGGAGGATGAAGAGGACGAGGCAAGGCGCTCTCCTAGGGTGAGACGGAAGCAACACACATACTCAAAGACCCGCCAACGGAAGCAAAAGGAGATTTCAGGCGTCTTGGAAAGTAACTTGAGCACGACCGCCTCCAATCCCAAGTCATCTCCCTGGAGTGTGATGAAGTTCCGGCAATACTTGTGTATGTGCTGCCGAACTCAGCAGAAGTTAGTGGAGGAGAACAAAGCATCGGATTCTAAAGAAAGGAGAAACCCCAGTGAAAAGGAGAATGGAGGCGCAGTTTCTGTTAATGAGCAAGGGAGGGGACAGGCTCCAGAAGGAACTCCAGGGGAAGTTCCGGGCAAAAGCCAGGAGAACAGAGAGTGTAATCCTTCAACTTGTAAATAAAGCAAATTTTAATTTTATGGATGGTATGTAGGAACCTGATTGATGAGCGCAGGTTTTCATCTTTCTCAATTATTTTTGTAGATGTATCCACTTTCTTCCTCCAGCTCCTCCCCTTTCGTCTCTCTGAACATCTTCTCGTGCTTTCTAATACTATATGCATTTCCATCTCTAGGACGTGGGGCCAGTGTATGGGTGGGTGAGACCTGAAGAGGGGTGAGGAGGCTTCTGAACCCTTAAGGCCTGCAACTCCAAGAAGGTGAAGAACAATCTGAAGAGAAGAGTCTTGAGGTAACTGATGAGGGAGGCTTCAAGGCCTAGCTTTCCAGGTTTGAACTCCAGACTTGTCTCATTTTTTCCCTCCTAACTCTCAGCTCTATATAGCAAAACTTTTGAGCTTCTGATTGTAGCAAATAAGAAGACCAGAAAAAAACTGCCCGAGGGGATTCTCGAAGCCGTTTTCAAGATGGCCATCATGGCAACACAGTTTAAGACTAGCTCCCAAGTCTTAAACTTGCCATCTCACTTTTCATTCCTTAGCTTGAGTAAAGGAGGAAAAAAAGGGGCCCTTTCCCTCCAGGATCTATCTTCTCCCTTCCCCACATATTCACTAATCACTCAGAAGGAATCTTAGAAATCAGGAAAATATCTCAGGGCAGATTCCCTAGAAGCTGAGCCTGAGATGGAGGTTCTTGTGCAAGAGTTTTATTGAGAGATGCTCTCAGAAGGAAGGTGGATGGGGGAAGCAGATTAGGGCAGGGCAGAAAGCTAGGCAGGGTTTGTTAAGAGTTAACAGTTAAGTCTGTGTCCACCTGATCCCAAGGAGCTCTGAAGTGGGAGTTACATCTCAAAACTGGTTGCACTTTTGAGGCAGAGGGCTGGCCTTTTGTAAGCCTATGTCAGTAAGTCACTGAGGGCTTCTGAGGTTCCCCAGTGAGGTAGGCTCCCTGCTAACTGAAGGCAGTTCTTTGGTGAAGGACTGTGAGCTGTTAGCCATCAACTCCACAGCAGCTGGAAATGGGTGGGTGGCCCCATAAAGGAAATCTGGGCAGCGTAATTCTGTAATTCATTGAAATTCATGTGTTTCCCAGGATATACTTAATTTCTGTAAATGTCCCAGGTGCACTTGAAATATGTACAGGAAAGTGCATAAAAGTTAACATGAAAATGGAGAAAGAGCAGCTGTCCTTACAGAAGAACTGCAACAAACACAAGAGATAGAAAACCACTATTACAACACCAAGAGTCATAATTGTTGGAGCAACACCCAACCATGGAAGGTGAGATTAGTGGGTAAAAAATTGAGGAGAAACAGGGTACTTGTGCAGTCTTGAAGTATCTCCTTCAAGGTATTTATTAGTTACATAGATCAAAATAATAACTTTAAAGCAGAAACACACTAGATCTCACCTCCTTTAACTAAGTTATCAAGGTTAGTGTTGCCAATGATAAGACATATTGACATTGTGTACCCCTGATACAATGTGCTGAGAAGACACACATGTCAAAATGCATAACCTCCGTCTAAGCATGAGAAATATCAGACAAACCACCAAATTGAGAGACATGGCACAAAATTATTGACCAATACTCTTCAAAAGGGCCAAGGCTCAAGTAGATTTACGGTTGTCAAGGGGAAGGCTGGATGAGGGAGGAATAGATTGGGAGTTTAGGATTAGCAGATGCAAACAATTATATATAGAATGGATAAACAACAAGGTCCTACTGTATAGCACAGGGAACTATATTCAATATCCTGTATTAAGCCATAATGGAAAATAATATTTAAAAATTATATATATATATGAAACTGATCACTTTGCTGTACATCAGAAGCTAACAAAACATTGTAAATAACTATACTTCAAAACATAAATTAAAAAAATAATTTAAAAAATATTTTTAGCATGCCACATAGCATATGGGATCTTAGTCCCAACAAGAGATTGAAACTGTGCCAACCTGCAGTGGGAGGACAGAGCTTCTGGGTTTTTTTTTTTTTTGGAAGGGGATAGTCTTAACCACTAGACAGCTAGTAAAGGTCCTAATTAATGAGTTTTAAAAAATGTTCACCACCACCCCAAAAAAAAGAGTGCCAAGGCTCTGAAAGACTTTCACATAGTAATGGAGACTAAGGAAACTGGACATTTGTTAATAAATACAATGTGGGATTTGGGATTGGATCCTGGAACAGAAAAAAAGGACAAAGTGGTAAAAGTCAAATAAAGTCTGTAGTTTAGCTGATATTATCATATCAATGTTAATTCATTTTGGTAATTTTACTGTGATTATGCAAGATACTGGGCTTTCCAGGTGGCACACTGCTGAAGAACCTGCCTGCCAATGTTGGAGGTGTGTGTTGGATTCCTGTTGGGAAGGGCCCCTGGAGAAGGAAATGACAGCCCACTCCAGTATTCTTTCTTGGAGAATCCCACGGACAGAGGAGTCTGGCAGCTAGTCCATAGGGTCACAAAGAGCCAAACACAATTGAGCAACTAATACACACACAGACACACACAGGGAAATCACAGAGTCAGACACGACTGAAGCGACTTAGTGTGCATGCATGCATGCAAGATACAAACAATAAGAGAAGCTGGGTGAATATTTGTATTATTTTTGTAATTTTTCTGTAAGTCTTTCTCCTTACAGAAGAACTGTAAAGAGAAATAGTTCAGTTCAGTCACTCAGTCGTGTCCGACTCTTTGCGACCCCATGAACCGCAGCATGCCAGGCCTCCCTGTCCATCGCCAACTCCCAGAGTCCACCCAGATCCAAGTCCATTGAGTCGGTGATGTCATCCAACCATCTCATCCTCTGTCGTCCCCTTCTCCTCCTGCCCTCAATCCTTCCCAGCATCAGGGTCTTTTCAAATGAGTCAGCTCTTCGCATCAGGTGGCCAAAATATTGGAGTTTCAGGCTCAACATTAGTCCTTCCAATGAACACCCAGGGCTGATCTCCCTTAGGATGGACTGGTTGGATCTCCTTGCAGTCCAAGGGACTCTCAAGAGTCTTCTCCAATGCCACAGTTCAAAAGCATCAATTCTTCGGCGCTCAGTTTTCTTTATGGTTCAACTCTCAAATCCATACATGACAACTGGAAAAGCAAGGAGAAACAAGAACAAAACTATTTCAAAACAAAACATAAATAAATGCTCATTCTAAGAAATCATAGTAATCAATCCTCAGTTTGAGAAATAGGACATTATCAGTACCCTTGAATTATCCTCATGTCCTCCTTCCTAATCACAGCTTTTTACTTCCCTTGGAGGTCACCACTGTGGTGAATTTTATGGTAATTACTTCAAGGTCCAATGCTGTAAAGAGCAATATTGCATAGGAACCTGGAGTGTTAGGTCCATGAATCAAGGTAAATTGGAAGTGTTCAAACAGGAGATGGCAAGAGTGAACGTCAACACTCTAGGAATCAGTGAACTAAAATGGACTGGAATGGGTGAATTTAACTCAGATGACCATTATATCTACTACTGTGGGCAGGAATCCCTTAGAAGAAATGGAGTAGCCATCATAGTCAACAAAAGAGTCCAAAATGCAGTACTTGGATGCAATCTCAAAAACGACAGATTGATCTCTGTTCA